AATAGATAAAATCATAAAACAATTTTCAATTATTTGCAATAAACCCAATGTAATTAAGATTTTTCCATTCAAAAATTACATTTATGCTGAAGAATATATATGCTATCAATGAAATTTAAATCATAAAATAAGGAATGATATGCTCTTAGAATAGTTTCATGACAAATTTACGTACATACACACAATTCTTATTTATTTACATATTTAACACCAAGAGTTTAATATTTACACTTCTAAAACATTGGTTCCACTACTTATGCTTGAACATGTGTATTTCACTTTTTAAAAAGATATTTATAGTGATATTTTTTTGATAAAATATTAAAAATATGTGTGATATGCAAGTAATTATGAATGTTTGTGTGACATATATGTAAATGCCAAATTTAAAGGTGTCCAACTGCCATCAAATTTGAAGTCATCAAACTCAAATTATTATCATTATTAGGCATTTTAGTTTTAAAACTCATTATGAAACATAAAATAATATATATAGCTTGGAATCATACATCAACACCACTTTAAATAAAGAAAATATTATGTCCGTAGACCGTTTCTCCAAACGACACATTACACGATGTTATTTTGCTCATGAAGTGGTGTGATTCGGCGGACTAATAATTTCTATATTCTGGTTACTCAAATTTTATAACTTGCCTCCGAATGAATTTTACTCGTTCTTAAATAATTTTGAGTACTTTAGGTGTAGACTTACCTAAAATGTTGAATGTCCTATTGTTAGAAAGGGTGAAGCCCGGTCAACTATGTTTGGGCGGTTACTTTGCTTTGGAGAGTCATACCTCTTCACTAATAACCACTCCCGTCTTCCTCTTTTGTGAAGTGAAGCATCTCTTCGCTCCCTCCTGTTCGTGATAAAAGCTTCAGATGACTCTCCTTGGGTTTAGTAGTCATGCTTTGAGTTCTTCTTTGGTTTCCCCGGGATAGAGGGATGTTTCCTCGGGGCAAAGGAAGAGAAGTGCAAGGAGGAGCAGTTCCTTGCGGCAGAAGGAAGAAGAAGGAAGAAGAAGAAGATTGTTCTCCCTAGGCTTTTTCTTGGTGGCTTGTGACAAAAGAGAAAATGAGTTTATTTCTCTTGTAAATTTATCTTCTTCAGTGTATCTTGGTGTAGAGTTTTCTTCGGTGTATCTCAGTATAGAGAGAGAAGAACAGAGAGAGAAGAAAAGAGAGAGCAACGAAAAGTGAGAGATTCCTCTTGTAAGTCGAGGTGATTGACTGGTGTAAATTCCTCAAGCCTTTGCAACTCCGTGGACATAGGCAATTTGCCGAACCACGTAAATCTGTATGTTCCGTTGTATTGTCCTCTTATGGTGTAAATTTTCTCGTTCTATTTTTCACTTCGTCGATCGTTCTCCTGTTTGATTTATATATATATCATATCAACTCGTGTATATCTAGATCTTCACAACAACACCTATGATCCATAATTTACGACTCATTTATCTCAAATGATTCGCTCATGAAGAGTGGATTCATATAAAAATGGAAGACATTATTGTATAGTTCAATAAACAATATGCCTAACCGACTTGTGTTGGGATCCCGAGAACTGTCTTCATCCTCAAGATTTGATGTTGTGCCTTGTGTTCAAATCTAATCCATAATACACTCGACTCGGTTATGATTGATTACAACCATAATTGTGGGGTTGAATGTTATTTTCATAAATGCGTTCACAAAAAGAGGAGGATATTGAATGTCAATTAGGTGCATTGAAAATTTTATTTGTAATTATTACATTAAGGGTGTGTTTGGGGCAGCTTGTGCTTATCCAGATAATCAGTTTATCTTGCAACGCGACCCACGGGAGGCCTGCAGGGTTCAATCCGCGGCATGCGTTTAGTGTAAAAACCCAACCGTATTTTTAGATAAGCTGTTGAAACGTGTTCTTCAAACAGTGTGGCGACATTTTATGGGATGCAACAAGCTGCCCCAAATGGGTCTTAAGTTTTAATGGTTCTATATTAATACGCTAGGTGGTGGGATGCAACAAGCTAGATGGTCAAAGGGCATAGGGCATATATGGCAAGTAAAGAACAGAGGCGAGATTATGAACACTGACAAGGGAAGTGACATGACAGAGCTCATCAAAGTTTGACTTATTGGCTTGATTATAGCCTTGGTTAGCTTTGTGGGTTGTTATGTGACTCTGTAGTATCAGTTGTTGCTTTGAACAGTGTTTTGTTGTAAGGAATGGGCTGTGGTCGACAAAGATCAGTGGGTTGCAGTGATAGAAGTTGCCAAAGGTGGCGGCAATCAGAGTTGGTAGGCAACAAAGACTGCTAGAGTTGGTTGCCAACGTTGGATGGAGTTGGCAACAAAAGCTAGCGGAGCATTGGTCGATGGTGATTGGCGGCTGCAATATTAGGAAGTGTTTGCCAAATCGTCGGTGTCAGATCCTGGGCTTCAACTCTCTCTTATACATGCTCTAGTGTTCCTCAGGCCAAGTGTCTAGTCCCCTTCTCAATATGAGGGTAGGATTCTATTTATATAGTCCATGTTGTAAATAAAGAAGTCTAGACCACTCTAATCAGACGTTTCGTAGAGATCCCATTGATCATACGACGTTCGATGGGTATTTGAGCGTCTTCATGATGTTGGAATTCAACTATCTTGGACTCATTTGAGTCTTCTTATCAAGGCGTTTGATTTATTTATAAACATGTCATATTTGGAATCAATTTTTCCTTCCAATAATGCACTAATAGTTTTCAAAAGTTGTTTAATGACTTAATATAGCTTCATTTGACTCAGATTTAACCAATTTTAGTATCATTGGGTCTATCTCGTCGAGCCAATCGTTGAAATCAGAATTCTGAATGACTTTTAATCAAAATTTTAATGTTTCAAGATTAAAAAATTATCTCAAAATTTAAGTCGGATGATGAAAATTTGTTATTCAAATACACATTTTTCATATATAAATTTAAAACATCGAAATGATATGTATGTAAATATAAAAATTTAGTTGTGACATGCAAATACATAAGAATTGTGAGCTGCCAGTGCAAATCTTTCAAAAACTAAATAAATAAATAATCCAATCAAAGCTGGAAGCACGCTGTCACAAATCCAGTGCCGTGACGAGATTTTTCAAACAAGAAAAAATGAACGCTCGAGCTTTATGATATATGTCCCAATTTGAAGACCAGTTCAAAATATAGGCCGCCCACTCCATCATGTCCTTGTCTTTCTTGCCGGACGCTCGAGCTCGGCTTGTAAATGAGCATGTGAACTGAGCTTATCGAGCGGTGAACTCAAGCTCGTCGTAGCTGGATTCATTAGCTCGCGAGTCGGCTCAACTAACTGAAGATTCCAATGATCACGTCAATACCTTCTCTACAGAGCTACCGCGAAACCTCCAATTCATTCCCACCATCAATTGTTTTGATCGCTTGTCTGGATGAACTCCCATGATAATTTCAATCGGTCTTGCGAGCCTCAAGTTAGTATTGCGAGTTGAGCTAGAGCTTATCATTGAAGATCAACTTAGGCTCGAGCTTGTATTTTGACAGGTTCAACTCAACTCAACTCGTTCACAACCTTATTCCGAACTTTTCCAAAATTTAATAACAATTTTAATATATAATAACTACAAATATATATAAAAAATATCTTAAAATTTTATCTTATATTTCTTGCAATTTGTTGAGTAATTCGGGCGAAGAAAACAAGAACGACACAAATCCAGAAGAATACAAAGAGATTTAACAAGGTTCGGCAAAGATGCCTACGTCCTCGGGAGCAGAGCGACGGCTTTTCACTATTCAGAAAAAAGTATAGAATTCAGGGATTCAGAGATAATCCCTAGGTTACATACAAGCCTAATTTATAACCCTAGAAAGTACATAAAAAAGGAAACCTTGTGTACAATATGTAATTACCAAATTACCCCCTGTACCACACCCCCAACCCACATAAGGAAACTCCCCTGATTTGGAGAAAATTTTTCGCTCTGCTCCGCTCCTGATTTAGCACTGTCCATTTATGGTATATGAGTCATATCTAAAAAAATTGTAAATATCAAGAAATATAATATCATGCACTCTTAATACTTCAAATCAGTTGAATATTAAACAAAAAAAATATTATATATTTACATGTAACTTTGGTGTAGCCACGCCAGTTTCGAGCGTAGTTACGGAGGCATAACCAAGCTGCAACGACTGTAGCCACGCCCGGATGTTTAGGATCCTTCACTTCTTCCCTTTCCGAGCATAATAATTACACTGCTACTCGACACGATTATGTCGTCCAGACAATTGGTTTGGCTTCAGTTCTTAAGCCTTCAATTCAAGAGACGAAGTATCGTTGTCTCGTGTGCGATATTCTCGATAAGTTTCACGAAAAACTGAAAATGGTCGAGGAGGATGATTTCAACGAGGGTTTTCTTTTAAGATTGAGAGAAAGTGTTGGGTCGAAGTTCTATGAGTTTCTATTGATTGTATAAAAAAAGATTCAAGTGAGTATTTCTATACATTTTTTTTTTATTCATAATAAAAATTATTTGGGTGTGACTCCATGTGTACTTTCATATATAGATTTATAAATAAATAAATAAATTAATAAATCTATCAAAGCTCTAAAAATGTAGCGCCGGGACGACTTGTATGAAACAAGAAAGACGAGTAAATCCAATTAGAAGGCCAGTAGGCCTTTCCTTATCGTCTTTGCTGGCCGCTTAGTGGGCTCCGCCTATACGACAATCGCGAATGTTTCAGGTACTTCTGTCACCCCCCCTCC